GTTGCAAGAAACAATGAACGAGATACGTGAAGGAAATTATTCTGTAAAACAAAAGTTGCAGCATATAGGTAATAAATTCATATCAGCATCCGAAGTCTCAGCCCAAGAAGCAGCTTACAATATCTTGGGAATGCATTTGTCTCAGTGTAGCAGCAGTGATGTTTATGTCAATACTCTCTTGCCAGAAAAACGTGTTCGCATACTAAAACCGAGGCAAGAGCTTCAAAATCTTTCTCCTGATTCAACCGATATTTATGTATCGAATTTACTTGAGCATTATATTCAAAGACCGGATAATCTAGGCGATGTATGTTTGGCTTATTTCGCTGCACATTATACATACTCTAAGACATTGCGCAAAAGGAATCGTCAACATGATGAGGAGGATGAAGATATTCTTGAAGATGACGAGGAACATCCTGATGATGTCGGGGCTTTGTTTCGCTTAAAAAATAATTCGGGTTACGTATATAAAAGAAGAAGTCCGGCTATAATTCGTTTTCCCTCATTTAGGGCCGACTTAAACAGGGACGACTATTTTCGCACATTGGTTATGTTATACTTTCCATGGCGTAACGAAGACGAAGACATTATAGGAAGAAACAACGAAGATACCTGCTCTATCTACATGGATGTAATTGAAAGGAACCGACAGCAGTTTGAAATGTTCAAGGATGGTGAATTACATGATATATTGCAAAGTATTCGTGAAGACAGTGATGGTGGTGAAGACCATGCGAGTAACGATAACATTACAAGTGACCAACTTTTAGACGAGGAGTTTAGAGCCTTGGTTGTTCCAGAATTAGAGGAAAATATAAATGTCTTCGACATTGACAACCACCATGAAGATGACCTGGAATCAGAAGCCAATGTACACTTAGTAAGACTCCCACCATTAGTAAATTTCGAAGAACTTCAGCATTTAATCAGAACGCTGAACAATAAACAGCGGTCTTATTTTCAACATCTTTTACAAAATATAGTTCAGAAAGTTCGATTTTATGAGTATGTTGCGGGAGGAGCTGGCGTAGGAAAAAGTCGCCTTATAAAAACTATTTATCAGGCAGTTACTTTTAGATATAATTCTATACCTGGCGCTAATCCGGATTTGCCAAAAGTATTATTAAGTGCTCCTACCGGAAAAGCTGCTTTTGGAATTGGAGGTGCGACATTACATTCACTTTTTTCCCTTCCAGTAAACCAGTTCCGAGGAGAGCTACGTCCACTAAGCAGTGATCTTGTTAATAAGCTCTTGGTTAAATTTACAGATCTGAAATTGATCATAATAGACGAGGTCTCCATGGTTGGATGTAGAATGTTAGGTTTCCTTGACGCACGCCTGAGGCAGATTTTTAAAACCACTGAAGCCTTTGGAGGAATCTCTATAGTTTTGTTCGGAGATCTAAAACAACTGCCTCCAGTTGGGGATAAATGGATATTTAGTACCAATACTGCTAATCCATACCACATCCTCGCAGGGGGTGGCTTGTGGGATCTGTTTTCCTTTAATGAGCTAACAGAGATAATGCGACAAAGGGAGGACCAAGATTTCGCGTTTGCACTGAACCGAATGTCAACTGGAGAAATGACTGAAGAAGATGTTTCGCTCATAAAGTCAAGGGTCATACCAACATCGGAGATACCAAATGAAGCAATTCATTTATTCCTGTCAAACGAAGAAACCGATAATTATAATTCCCTTAGATTGGAACAAATCACATCTGAACAATTTGTTTCCAAGGCATCCGATATTTTGAAGTCAGATTCATTAGCTATCGGTCAACGGAATCAAATTTTAAGTTCGGTTCTCAATTTAAAGACCTCAGAAACGCAAGGACTTTGTAGTGAACTAAAATTAAAATTGAGTGCAAAATATATGATGACGATCAATATTGATACCAACGATGGCCTAGTCAATGGAGCCACTGGCATACTGAAGCATATTGATTTTGGTAGAAACTCAACAAAACCAATAACGCTTTGGATCTTATTTTCTGATGAAAGTGTTGGAAGAATGGCGAGAAGAAAAAAACCACATCCCACAGAATTACTGTGGACTCCCATTGAAAAGTGCCGCCGAACGTTCCAGTACAAACGGAATGAACAAATAACTATAGAACGCTTACAGTTTCCATTGGTAGTTGCAGAAGGTATAACCATACACAAAAGTCAAGGCGCAACCTATGAAAAAGTTGCTGTTCATGTTCGGAAAGGTATGAGTAGGGCTTCTCTCTATGTCGCTTGTAGTAGAGCCACTAAAGCAAGTGGGCTATACATTATTGGAACATTTACTCCACCAAAACCTTTCTGCAGCTCTGATGTTGTCAAAATAGAATTGGAACGGCTTAGATTGCATAAAGCCATACACTTGCAGCATAGTAAGTTTAACACATCGAATAACGCTTTCACAATATTTTATCAAAACATACAAAGTCTGAGTGCTCATCATTCTGATATTTCTAGTGATGTCACTCTAATGCATTGTGACCTATTGTGTTTTGTGGAAACGTGGACATACCCGGAAGAAGAACTTTTCTTTGACAATTTCTCAATATTGTCACGAATAGATTGCAATCATACTGAAGGAAGAGTAAGAGATAAGAGGGGTATCGCAATTTATATTAAGAACGAAAAGTTTTCTGAGGCAAATATTATTTGTCAAAAAGATCTAAGCAGAGGCAGAAAATCATTTCAGTATTCCCTCATCCAATTCAGAGATTTGTATCTTATAGTACTTTACAGGAATTCTTCATATCCCGAATGCAACTTCAAACGTATTTTACTTGAAGCTATATGTGATATTAGAGAACGTTTCGGCGATAATTCAAATATTGTAATTGTCGGGGATTTCAATATCTGTAGAAGTAGTCGAACTAGTACAATTGAAACTGCTCTTCGTTCAATGGGCTTATTATCAAAGTTGGAGAGAAATATACCAACAACGAATCACGGTACGCACATCGATTGGGTATTTAGTAAAGAAAATTTAAATATTAATTGTAGCACTTACGCCACAGTTCACAGCCACCATGATGGAATAGTAATATATAATTAGAATGTTATACTTATAATATAGAATGTAAACACATTTTTTAATAGATTTAGTTTTTATAGAGTTTTGTAAAATATTTTATTGTTTACTCTGTAATCTGTATTAATATATAGATTTATGTTTGATCATAAACATAATATTAATGCAATGAATGACGAATTCGATTCATGTATGACTTCTATATATTTAATTATATTGAAATCCATATTAAGAATAAAATGTAAAATAAGATAACGTTAATTAAGATAGCAATAATTAGATTGTATTTAGACAATGAATTTTAGGTAATAAAAACATACAGATAAAAAACAAAATAACCATTTTTTATGTTTTGTGTTAGAATAAGAATTTGATGTACAGATGAGGGTTCTTTTCAGATTTGGCGTTTCAAACATGTTTCTAAAACGTGTTTATTTCTAATGTGTACAATTTTCTTATGTGTACAATTTTTTCTGTGAAAGTTATGAGAAAGGAAAGGTGTTTCAAAAAAAATGTTTACATCCGTTTGAAAGAAAAGAAAACAAATATTTAGTTTTACTTCAAACACTAATTGTGGTGGAGGGTATACAAAGTTCGGCCCGGCCGAACTTAACGCCTGTTTTACTTGTTTCTCTCTAAGCTTATAAATATGTGTTAAAACCAGAGAACGGGGATTTTAAGTATTGGTGCTGAGTGAGAAACTTTAACTTCTCTGTGGGAATAAAGTACAAAGTTTTTGCAAAAATTATAAAGTGAATTTAAATATAATAAAAGCGATATCTGCCGAATATTGATTTGATTAAAGTAAAGGTAAAATAAGAAAATAGTGTCTTACGAACGAAGAAGTTGATTTTTTTTACCGTGTAAAATAGGTGACTATCGCAGGGTGTTGTTATAAATAAAGTGGTCAAAGTCCAATTTTATCCTCAGACGCATTATTGAACCAGCAATCAAGAAAGGTAATGTGCAGATTTTGGCGTTTAATAAGTATAGAGTAATGGTAAGACATGGTTTGTTTCCTTTAGGCCACCAGAAACCTTGTTTGTTGGACGGAAGTGTCGTAGAGGAAATATAGCCACTAAAATAGATTACCCAAGTAGAAAGCCGAAAAAAAGGTAGGACATTAGTATTGCCAATTACCTTAGGGAGCAAAGCCCACTGCCATCTAGTGGAAACACCCGAGCTGACAAAAACTTTGCAAAAGCTCAGTACCAGAACTTTACCAGAGAATATATAACTTTGTGCCCGAGCGAATTCACGTATAACAGTTATAATTCGCCGAAGTACCTCTGCCACAGTCAGTCCCGTATAAAAAGACTGGCATTTGGTTATGTGACGACCGATTGAGATCAAAAATAATCATAACCAGTTAAAATCGTCAAAGAAAATAATTTTCATAAAGTATATTTAGTTTCTAAGTGTATAACGTATTGTATGATTTATTTATATTTTGCTTTGCATGTTTTATTTTATTTTTTTTTATCCAAATTGACTATTTTTATTTGAGTGTAAATGATAACGTTTCCTTTTTCCTGTTTGGAAATACCTACAATTCCCTCGTCTAGTTTACGTCGTATTTGTTTCACATTAGGAACCACAATTGTGCATCTGGTGATATAGTTGATCCTAAGCCATAGGTTGTCTATAATAGAGCTCTATTAGGAAATCTAGGTTATTGGAGTTTATTGAGCATAGTCCACTGATAAGGACGTAGTTTTGCAAAATATTGTGGGTTCTAATAGACCAGTTGGTCAATCGTTCTGTTTATCAAGATTTCTTTTATTTGGTTCAAAGAACCTTTCGAAATTCCTCTGGTCATAGAGAAGATACTATAAAAAAGAAGAACATCAAACTATATTTTATTAATTTTTTTTGTTCTATATTTTATTGTGTTTCAGTTTTTTTATTAATTTTCAACAGTAATAATTAAGGAAAAAGGATACCTAATCATATAATAAAATCAACATTTTTCAATAAATATAATGTGAATCTGTAGACAATTAGAAATATGAGAGTTTAACTGAAAAGGAAAGGAGGAAAAGGATGATGAGGTGAGTGGTGGTACTTCCAGCGGTAATAGGGGTCATCAAGGCAAGATCGGTAGGATGACTATGGTCGGGTGGGCGGCTAAGTTTGACTCTGAACCCGGAGTCCGGAGTTTTGATGGGAGAAGTTAAAGTAAATTATCGATAGGAATAGACCAAATCGATTGTGTACGTTCCTGGGCTAGAGATGTCGGGATGGAACCTGCCCCAAGAGAGTCGGCAGAGTTAGTCGGCGATATAGAGGCATCGTTCTGGCTCCGCTTAAAAGGACACGTAACAATATGGCGCCCAATCCAAAGAAACCCTTGCGGTGTATTAATATAGGAAGTGTACGTCATCAACACACTTAGCAATAGCCAACTAAATAAAAAGAGAAATAGACCAACATTAGTTTCTTGGAATCTGAATAGACAAATCAGTGAATGTAGTAGCCATTCTGGACAATGGGCCAGAAAGTGATGTACTATAACAACTGATAATGGATAATTCAGAGGAATAGAGGCAATGACAAGTACAAACTGGGATAAAAGGTGACATACCTTGTAGATTATTAACAAGAGTATCCGCACTGACCATCCTGGGTAAAACAATAGTTATAGAATCAGCAGTATGTTTGGTAGTGATCCAGTTTATATGTCTGGGTATCCGCTCTGGAGGAGTCTAGAGGACCGTTGTACCTAAAAATATATAAACTGATATCTGATGAAGTATGGAATCAGTGCATATACCAAACGTTTTGCATTGTCAATTTATTTTGTATTTTTTGTAGTAGTTGAATGTACCATCACAACCATAGCGACGGATATAGCCAAAAGACCGCGTACCCCACACCTCATCATAATAAGCCTCCTAATAAAAAAATTTATACATATAAAAGAGATTAAAATATTATAAAAAAAAAAAAAAAAAAAAAAAAAAATTTACTCTCATTTTTTTAAAATTGTTTTTGCTTTTGAAATTTGATTCTAGAAAGTGATTTAAGAAATTGTTTTTTTTTAGAGATACTTCGTCGTTTTTATATACTTGTTAGAAAAAAATCTTTGTGGTAAAAAAATATAGAGACCAAGGGTAATGAGTAGGGAGACTCGCTCCAAATCTAAAAGTAGAAAAAGAGATAGGCCAATTTTATTTGACTTGAATAGGACCATAAACATCTTGGAAGAAAAACGGCAAAAAACCCAAAATCTAGAAAAAATGGCAGAAGAAAACCAGCGCGGCGAGGGACAAATTATGGATTTTTCTCAAACCATTAATTCGAGAGCCCCGATGTCGAATCCTTTAGGTCCTTCATATCTTCAGGGGGCTGGAGAGGGGTCTGAGACCCAGAGAACAGTTCATAATCCTGAACAGATTAAGGTCTTAGAAACATCCATTAAAAGGGTTCAGTCCGAGATGGGTGATATAAGAAAGACACTTGGGGACTTGACATCCGCAATGGACCAACTTTTGAGAAAACAGGGTGGAAATGTCAGCAACACACCTCAACGTGAGTCCAATGGAATGCTAAACCATGGGGGAATCACAGCGCTCCCGTCTACGGACACTCGTCCAGAAAGGCAACCAGATAAGACAAGACCTAAAGAGGTGTCCATAGCACCAACATCGTCTAGTTCAAATAATGGCGGAACAAATGGTTCGCACACTAGGCCGGTAACCATGGGGACTGGAAAAGACTTTAGTATAGTTCGACTTAATAAATTGGGTCTTACGTTTGATGGAGGTTCCAACAGTTTGGGAGTTGAAGAGTTCGTTTACCGATTGGAATATTATCAGAAGCAATATAACATACCATGGTCGGAAGTCATAAGAGACTTTCCTCTTATATTGTCCGGTAGAGCTGAGTCTTGGTATTGGCTATTACAAAAGACGCATGGAATCCATAGCTGGGACCATCTTAAATATAGTATTTTGAGCCAATACCAATCGTCTAAGTCAAATTTTGAAATCCTCACAGAACTTGCCCAAAGGAAACAGCAAATCAACGAATCGGTAGACAATTTTTTTCATGCAATGGGTCAAGTTCGAGCCAAATTGGTGCAACCTATCTCGGAATTTGACATGATGAAAATTCTGAAGAAAAACGTTAAAGACAGTATAGGAAGAATTGTATATCCGATTCAAGTGTCATCAGTTGAACAGCTAAGAGTGGAGTGTAATGAGGCCGAGAGGAACTTTTTAAGGCGGGAAAACCGACCTACATTACCAATGGCTCGGCAGCTAAAACACGTTAATGAGATCTCCGAAGATGTGGATGTTAGGTTTTCGGATGAACAAGAGGAGGGTGAATTGAAAGAATTGGCTGCTATGCAGTACAACAGGCAAGTAAAACCCCAACTAACCTGTTGGAATTGCAGGAAATTAGGACATTCTTTCCGCGATTGTGAGGAAGCGACTAGGGCATTATTCTGTTATAAGTGCGGCAACCCTGGAACTACAACCCCCAGATGTAGAATGTGCCAGCAGGGAAATGGGAACAAGGGCGGGGATCAGGAAGGGAGACCCCGTCCGAATTAGACATCCCTGTGGTAAAACGTTTCAGCCTAGAAAAAGTAAAAAGTAGCAGTAATATTATTCCGGGTATGAGACACTATTTATCGGTGAATGAGCGAAAAGAAAATTATGTCAAAGTGAGACAAAAGATATTTGGATGTCCAGAGACACAAAAGTCAGATAAAAAAATTCCGAAAGTACGGGAAAAATTTATTTCGAAACGAAAAAATTATCAAATTATTAGTGAAGCAATTAGCAGGGCTAGAACCCAACATGACCCCAGACCTTTTGCGGAAATCTATATAGAAGGTCATAAATTAAAGGGCCTGCTGGACACCGGTGCTTCAGTAAGCTTACTGGGAAAGGGCTGTAGGGAGCTAATAGAAAGTTTAGACTGCGACTTAAAACCGATCTTCTCTAATATAAAAACCGCCACAGGAAGTCAACACAGATTGATTGGAAAAACTACCCTGGATATAAGTTATAATAACGTTAAAAAAGAAATGGAATTTTACTTGTGTCCCGACCTAGAGCAGGAATTGTATTTAGGGGTAGATTTTTGGAGATTGTATAATTTAGCCCCCCAAGTAATACCAGTGGAGGAGATGAAAATAGAACAGTTCCAAAAAGATATTATCGACGGAGATATGTATAAATTAAACCCTCACGAATTGTCCAAAGAACAACAAGAACAGTTGGACAAGGTAATCAGGGGTTTCGATACCTTTGAGGAAAGAGGGCTTGGTAAGACTAGCCTGGAGAAGCATTCGATAAAGCTCGTCGAGGGTGCTGAACCGGTCAAAGACAGGTATTATCCGATCTCCCCGGCGGTACAGGCCATTGTCTATCAGGAAGTAGACAATATGCTACGTCTAAATGTGATAGAGGAAAGCAATAGTCCATGGAGTAATAGGACCACAGTCGTGAGGAAACCCGGAAAGAACAGGTTCTGCTTGGATGCCCGTAAATTGAATAAACTAACAGTAAAGGATGCATACCCGCTCCAAAACATAGACGGCATTCTGAGTAGAATCGATGAAACCCATTATATAAGCAGTGTCGATTTGAAATACGCCTTCTGGCAAATCGAACTAGATGACACGAGTAAAACCTACACAGCGTTTACAGTCCCAGGTCGCCCTTTATACCAATTTAGGGTAATGCCTTTCGGGCTTTGCAATGCGGCTCAACGCTTGTGTAGGCTTATGGATAAAGTTATACCATCACATCTAAAAGAAAATGTGTTCATTTATCTAGATGATCTGCTTATAATATCAGGGGAGTTTGAAGATCATTTGAAATTACTAAGAGAGGTTGCAGAATGTCTCAAGAGGGCGAATCTGACGATTGGGTTAAACAAGTCCCAGTTCTGTTTCAGGGAACTTAGATACCTGGGTTTCATTGTAGGAGATGGAAAATTGAAAACCGACCCCGACAAAGTAAAGGCGAAAAAAAACATTAAGGTTCCGAAAAGTGCCAGAGAAGTAAGAAGTTTCTTGGGGACCGCTGGTTGGTATAGACGTTTCATTAGAAACTTTGCCACAATTTCAGCTCCCCTCACAGATACTTTGAAAAAGGGTAAGAAATTTGAGATGAATGATGCTGCGGTGCAGGCTTTTGAAAACCTTAAAAAAGCCTTAACATCCGCCCCGGTCCTTCGACATGCTAATTTTGCGAGGCATTTCTACATTCAATGCGATGCGTCCGAATATGGCATAGGGGCGGTGTTATATCAAATAAATGATAGGAATGAAGAACATCCAATAGCTTTTTATTCCCAAAAGTTAAATGCCTGTCAACGCAATTATAGCGTGACAGAGAAGGAGTGTCTGGCGGCAGTTATGGCGATTAAAAAGTTCCGACCATATGTCGAGCTAATGCCATTTACCGTAATAACTGACCATGCCTCACTAAAATGGCTGATGGGCTTGAAAGACTTGACAGGAAGGTTAGCTAGGTGGTCGTTACAATTACAAGCCTTCGATTTTAACATAGAACATCGAAAAGGAACTGAGAACCTGGTTGCCGATATGCTCTCCAGAGCACCAACGCTCGATGTTAATGAGATTACTCCTGGGGAAATGTTAAACTTTGAGACTACGGAGTTCGAAAGTGAAGAGTACAGGGAATTAATCAAAAATATAGATGAAAATAAAAACAAGTTACCCGATCTGAAAATAGAAAATGGGTACGTGTATAAGAAAGTATTTCCGGGTCAAGATGAGAATGAGGAGGTCCGATGGAAGCTATGGATTCCCTCAGGCCTTACTCATGAAATAATCAAAAATGCTCATGACATAACTACGGCGGCACATGGGGGTATGGTAAAAACTTTAGAACGAGTTCGAAGATTTTACTATTGGCCCCGAATGACCGTGCAAGTGAAGCAATATGTAAGAAATTGCCAATTATGCAAAGAATCCAAACCTAGTAACCAACACATGATGCCGAGTATGGGAAAGGAGGTGATCACTGACAGACCTTTTCAAAAACTATATGTGGACTTCCTCGGGAAGTATCCTAGGTCGAAAAGAGGGAATGCTTATATATTTATCGTTGTGGATCACTTCACCAAATTTATATTTCTTAAAGCCATGCAAGAGGCCACTGCAAGAAATGTAGCAAAATTCCTCGTCGAGGAAATTTTTCACAAATTCGGCGTACCCGAGGTCATCCACAGCGATAATGGGGCGCAGTTTGCATCCCAGACCTTTAAGGACCTAATCGAAGGCTATCAAATCAGCCACATGAGAACAGCAGTGTATTCACCCCAATCCAACGCTTCCGAACGTGTCAACCAATCGGTAATAAATGCCATTAGGACTTACCTTGATAAGGATCATAGGGATTGGGACATGTATTTGACAGAAATAGAGTGTGCCCTCAGAAATTCGATACATTCCTCAACAGGTGTAACTCCCTATTTCGCACTTTTTGGTTTTCATATGTTTTCCAGTGGGAAAGACTACAAGTTAGCCCGAAAATTGATGTCACTGACTGATCATGAACTAAAGGCAATGAATAGACCGGGAAAACTCGAAATTTTAAGGGAAACAATTAAGGAAAATTTACACAATGCATTTGAGAAGAGTTCGGAAAGATACAACAAAAGAGCCCGAGTGATAAAGTTTCGACCAGGACAGGAAGTGTACCGAAGAAACAATGTATTGTCGGATTTTTCAAAAAACATAAATGCAAAATTCTGTAAAAAGTTCATAAAATGTCGGATCGTCAAGCCCGTAGGTCAAAACATGTACGAATTGGAGGATTTGCAAGGGAAAAGTATTGGAGTTTATCACGTAAAGGACATAAAATATTAATGCAATATGGACAATTCTGTGATATGATAAGTGCAATATTAGAAGTAAGAATAGGCTTAATATATGTTGTACTTGTCCATATCCATAAATATGTATCTATATGCAGTATTATTTTATATCTGTGATACATTACCGATGAAGTTCCTGGGTGTAACATGTATATTTTTTGTCCCTGTATAATAGGTTATCCCCCTGTGTGTGGATAAATTTGTATACCTTAATCTAGCTAAGTGATGATCTCAACGACTTACCTGGGACCAAAACTTCGTCCTATCTTACAGATGTTGCACAAAAATCCCAACAGAAGTCCTGAAATGAATTCCACAAAGTAAAATTCTAATAGTGAGAGATTTAAACATGTATACTTCCCTAATGACTAGTAAAGCTGTAGAGCCCGGCTAGAAACTCAGGGCGTGAGAGTTCCCCACGTTGGAATTACGGATCTACATCATAACAGAACAACACACATACATCCACATTGTCGTCCAACTGTGTGGGCCCATATGGTGTATATATCCATGGCTTAATAAAGGCTATGCATGCGAACAAATGCTTAGCATTTCATAGCAGATAGATATAAAGTAGTTGGATCTGGATTTTTATACTTAAATGATATGAAATGGGGGGAAGGATTGCCATTTGTCGTTTATTATTTCTTCCAAAAAAGATATTGCATGATAACGACCTCATTAACCCACTGGGATAATCGATGAGCAATAGTGTCCCTTAATATCGGGGGGATAACATTTACTTCGAAATGTAATGTCATATCCAATGAAAATGAATAGATGGGGGGGCACTCCATCCCCCAACTCACATTAACATGAGTGGTTTTCATAGGAAAACTGTTTCATATGGCTAGAGACCGTTGACAATTTAGTTCTCACGCATAGAAGCAAAGTTGGAAAATCTTGTCTGTGTGTTTTTCTTTCTATTTTGCGGTAAGACACATAACAGAGAGAAAGAGAAAAACAAGAGTTGTTGCCTTGCTTTATTTCTTGCATCAAATTAATTGTGTGAAAAATTGTCACCACAACACCAGCATCTCTCCGAAACACCAGTCAACCCGATAACAATGAGATTGTGACAGCTGCTGCTGTCGATGTTGTTGTTATTGTTTTTCTCTGTGGCAGTGGCAACAATTGTGTGCTGTTGTGGTCTTAGTTTAATAAAACAAAACATAAAATGGGAAAACTTCTAACCTTTTGAAGTTTGATGACGACTTAACTTGCCATAATTAACATCCTCTGGAACTGGCCATAACGAGGAAGTGTGGTGAAACTATTCATCCGTTTAATCTCTGCCAGCAGTACTTCGACACGCAGGGAAAATGTTTATTAAAATAAAAATCACATGAGCTGGGTATGAGTTAGCGATAGATTATTTCCAGGGAAATTGTGTTTCTCACGTATATTACTTTACTGGGTTTTAGGTGGTCACTGAAAATAGCAAAAGAAATATGGAGTAAAAATTATTTAATTATATAATTATTTTTTTATAGAAAATGTTGACAATTTATAGGAAGGATGTGGGTCACAAAATTTTTGAAAATTAAATCCCTTATTATTATACCGTTAGCCATAAGGCTAGAGGGGGTATATAACATGTGATACGGCCAAAACGTGCCTCTACGAATCAACGGTTTTAGACCCTAGGTCTCTTTGGACCAAATCCGTTTCAGGACATTTGGAGTTGATATAGCGATGTCCGTCCGTCGGGACGTACGTCTGTCTATCTATCTGGCTGGTGTGCACGATAACTCTTGAAGGGAGTATCCGATTTAGTCTACACTAGCTACATTGTAATACTATTATCAAACATAGATGGACTTCGGAGATGGGCAATATGAGTCTGCTCTTTTTGGTACCTACCTCACAAAATGTTGAAATTTTCAAAGAAAATATAGAAAGGATCAAAATTCCGAATAATTATAATTCTTCTAAAAAGTGATGTAAGAGCGTGATTGTCCACGAATTTCACACATACCAATATTTTATTAACCCAAGGTCTGGCGATGAAACGGGATATATCGGTCCACTCCTTCTGGTACCTCAACCACAAAAGGTCGACATTTTTATAATCTATATATATAAATGTAAGTTGTGTTAGTTACTACGCTTATAACTTAAGAACCGCTGGACTGATTTTAACGATTCATACAAATTCGGAATTGTCTCCTCTCCGAAAAGGATAATATCCAAAAAAATCGCGTAAAAATGTGATATATTAACATTTTCATTTTGACTTTTCAAATGTACAATAGTAATGTTTTATTTTGCATGATTTTTTTCCATTTTGACTTACTTTTTTCTAATGTACATTTGTAGTGTTTTTTTACATTTTATTTTTGAATTCGAATATTTATACCAATTTATTTAATTGACTTGATTTCTTGAGAACTGAAATTGATGGCGGGTTACATGGAAGTGTAGTAGCGAATTATGTGGTGGCGAAACGGAATAGATGATATCGAAATAATTTAACGCGGTCACAACAAAGTTAAAAGATAATTACTTTTTCTAAATCGCTGAAAAATCATGAAAAAGAGATCTCATTGCAAAAATCAAAAAAACATTTTCAATGGAATCGAATTTTAAAGTAATAGTACATTCTATTGACAAACTTTGTAAGGAAGGATCTTAAAACATTTGCTGTAAAAAATCAGCGAAAAAGTTGAAGACTTTTTCAATTTGTTATTCTTTTTTTTTGTCATTTTTTTTTTTTTCAATTTGTATTATCATATTGAATTCAGTGGATTTTTTGTGAACAAAATAAAGAATAATTTTTCACTAAAAAAATTAAATAAGTGCGAAATAGGATGTTAACTGACATCTACCTTTCAACTCCAGGGCCTACATCGTGGGTTAGCTGAAAGATGCGAACACATTTAAACAAACAAAAATGACCGAAAAAGCTTAATGGGGCTCATTTCAAAGCGTGGCAATGATCCGTCCAATGAGAGCTCAAAATGCAAAATTCTTTGGGAGAATAATAAGTAATATACCAATATTGAAATAAAAGGTGCAAAATAGTAGAGTTAATTGGACTTTTAGTTAGAAATGGTTTTATATCCTTCCAGAAATTCTTCCCAAACATTCAAAATACCTAAAATCACTTTTGCAGGTCTTTATATCGATCATAACTCATGGATAAGGGAACAACCCGATTTCATATTTATATAACCATCTATGATTTAAGTTATTTTTGGGGTCTTGGCCGGTCACTTTTTTCATTTTTTGGTCCTTATTTGACATTTTTGTTTCTAAGGGGGTAGATAACCTCTTCGCATAAAATTTGAAATTTTCAGAGTAGGGCCCATATTGGTATTGACCACATTCATCAATTGATTTGGCTAAAAAATTTTATTTATGCCACCCTGGGGTAGGGAACCATCATACAGATAATTGTCACATAGGAATTTATTTAAGTAAAGTCCCCACATTGGAGTATCCCCAAGTCCACTTTCACATCTAATGTGTGATCAGAAAAGAAAATTTTGTATTCTATTGAATTTTTAACCCCCAAGAGAATATTGGTTGGGAACGTAGATTTGGGATGTGCATCCATATGAAATAAATTGTGGAAACATGAAGAAATTACAAATATAAGAAAGTAGCACGGGACCGAATATTTGTTTAATCATCATTGAATTATCCTATGATGAAAATATGGACTTTAAGGGGTCTCCAACTTACAATTTAAATGGCAAATAAAATTAATTCCCATCTTATCATTCTGCCCTCAATTATGAGGTGGATAAAACTATTTTTACTTATTTAAATCACGTGAAATGCTATGACATGCTATATTGTTCTGCTATATTTTTGATTTGGCCTCTATTTGTCATCTTGGATTATAAGGGGTAGAAGAAAGTTTTCAATGTAGGTCGATGTTTCGGAGTAGTGCCCATATAAAGAAGGTACCTCCTAATTTAACCACATTTCAAAGAATTTGGCTAATAATGCGTATTAGGGGGGTGAAAATCGTACACTGAAATTTCAACATATCTACAAATTTTAGAATTTTTATCCATGTTATAATACCCTCTCAAGTCCACCTTTTGGCGGACAAACAGACTGACATGGTTAGGGGGACTTATGAGGACTCTAATGCACAATCTAAGTTGCTAATGGGTTTAAAAAAGTAATTAACTTTGGCTATTCTTAAATCATTCAGCCATCAATTATGTAGTATACAAAATACAGCAAATTCCAAATTACTGCTCATTTGACTGGAAGATTTTGCTACGATTTTTACCATATTAAAAATTAATTTGATCCCTTATACGGCGATAAGATTGATATATAATTTTTAATAGATTTGTATAGCACATCCACACAGTTGAAGCCCACGGTTTAAATATTGAAGCCCACTGGTTAAAAATGGGTACAGGTATTTTAAAACACTTTAAATCGACCTGTACGTGAACACTTATATCAGTCATATCTGTGAATAATTATGCTTGGGAATATATGCATAATAGACAAAAACTACGGGCCGGCAACGCGGACCGGGCCAGCTAGTAATTTTATAAATATATTTTCTGCACAGAAAGAGAAATGATATGTCGCTTTTGCTCTATCATTGCAAGTATTAATAGTTGCGTTAGTGCTAGGACAGATGCCAAAATGGGCAATATCGGTCCACTCCATCAAATACCTCCCCCACAGAGGGTCAACATTTTGAATAATTACAACTGTTATAAAATGTGATGTAAGGATCCGATTATCTTAAAATTTCATACATCCCAATATTTTTATAAACCCAAGATCTGGTGTAAATATGGAAAATATCGCTCCACTCCTTCTGGTACCTCCTTCACATAGGGTCAAAAACGCAAAATTAACATCCGATTTCATTCTGACTATTATAAAGATGGTCGATATCGGCGCATTTCTTCTGGTACCTCCCCAACAAAGGGTCAAAATTTGGAATAACGGAAACGATTATAAAATCTGAAATGAGCTTTATTTCACACATCCCATTATTTTTACCAACGCAAGATTTGCTGTAAACATGGGATATATAGGCACACTCCTTCTGGTTCCTCCCCCACAAAGGGTCAAAATTTTGAATGTCCATGAAGCTGATAAAACGCGATATTTCGATTCTGTTCAGACTTGGTACATCTCCATATTTCCATCAACACAAGATCTATTGTAAAGATGGTAGAGACCGGACTATTCCTTTTGCTACCTCCCCCATAAAGGGTCGACGTTTTGAATAACCAAAACTATTATTATATCCCAAATAAAAATCTGAATCTCTTTATATTTTACACATTCCTTTATTTCTATTAACCCAAGATCTGCTGTGAAGATGGCATATATCGGTATGTTCCTTCTAGTACCTCCCCAAAAAAGGGACAAAATATTAAATATCCACGAAGTTCAAAAAACGCAAAATTAACATCCGATTCCATCAACACAAGATCTGTTATAAATATGGTA